TCCTGTATTATTTGTACAGGTGATGTCCTGTACAGTGTGATAATCCCAAATGTTTCCTTGTTATGACCAAGAAATCATGTGCCTTAGGGCGGAAGATGGGGCAAGTCCCAAGAATTTATTCTGAGGAATTCGTTTCTTTATGCCAAATGCAATGTGGAATATGATTGAAAATATTGATGTTTCATACCGTCCTTAATATCAACATGATGTAATTAAATCTTTTAATAATATCCTCATATATTATTGTTCTATTTAGAGGACAATTCGTTGTTTTGAGTGGCTATACTTCATGCAATAAAACTGCACGCATGTGTGTGTCACCAGTCGATAGCGTCATGCATAAAGTATATGGCCCTTGTGAACGGAAGTTGTCAAGCAACTCATTTTCCTAGAAAACATTATCATCCCTTTGTTGATTTATAAACACAGATATAGTTTATTTTAAAACAAATCACTCTGCTGTTGAATCGTTTAATATCCAGTAGTGACAGACTATCCACTTCACTCTGTACATCTCTACCCTAAAAAAGATTTTTTAGTGGATTGTGATTCAGATGTTTGATAGAATTAGTTCCAATTTTTTTTTAAAACTCTTTCTATATGCGACAAATCTAAAGATATTCAATATAGGTTTAAAGTGTGGCAATGAATTACATGTTTCCCTATAATTGCCCATACGTATTCTCGATAAAGCGCTTAATAAAAGAAATAAACATATATGCATGTACCACAGGAGAAGTAAACTACTGAAAACATGTACACATTTTAGCGGTATTCTTATTTAGCGCTTTACATCATGCGCTAAAACATGATTGCGTTGATTCATGTTACTGCATAAGTTTTTCTATTGCATATATTTTGAGTTCACTAGTTCTTGAATTCGCTAATTCAACTCCTAAAATGTTGAGCGTTAAGCTGGAGTAGAAACTACCTTTTTACAGACTCTGGTATGTCTCGGTCATGGGACAGAACCCAAAGCCTTCTTCACAGGGATGAACGCTCAACGTAAGGCCAAAAGAGAGCATTGTAATTAAATATTCAAAGCCATTGAACAGTGGCAGGTTAACATTATGTAAGATAACAAGGCTATAAGAGTTATCTCTCTTTGGGTGTTGTGTCGTACTAGAAGTCATTAATAAAATGCCGTGCCATTAAAACTTTCAGGTGTTCTTTTTCGATCATTTCGTTGAGAAAACAATGCATAGAAGACAGGTAATCTTTTAACTTACATACATCAAATAGGTTATCATTGTTTAACACAAAAAGATCTTTGATTTGCAAGGTGCACAATCTTTGAAGGATATTTTCTTTTTAAAGCCGGTCTATTTTCAAAGCATGTTTACTTTCGAGTTATATTTGATTGCAAGGATCCCATGTTTATTTTTAAAAGATTTTAGGGTATTCGTATATAGTACGGTGTTATTGATAAGCTATATACCTAAGCGGCTAGTGGTCATAAGCAAAAGATGTACATGTAACAAATCAAAAATTGAAATTTAAAAGAAATTGTATTTTAAAATGTTAAACTGTTCTGCATATTTTTTTTATTAAGTAATTAAAATGAAGAGCAAAGCGCATATATATATATATAAACAAAAATGACGGTTGCAGCAGAAGAAGCGAGCCAAAATTTGACAAGGTATATCGTCATTATATTTGAGACCATAGGGGCATGCGTGAAATGATGTAAATAATCGAATTCTTAAGGCGCATAATAAATTTATAATTTTTATATGTTTCACACTTCGAGTGTAAAGTTTGCTATGTTAAAAAATTAAAAAAGCCAGTTTTATCCTACTGATCAGAGAAAAAAAGCAAAATGTGATGCTGTTGAGTTAGTAACATGCCGTTAGGAAGTTTGTTCAAATGAATGATCAAGATCACCGGGGTCAATGGTCTTAAAACCTTCACACAACTTCCGAATAACAACAATGACGGTGGTGATGGTATTTGGTAAGCTCTCTTGTAGCATGCTAGCTGGATGTCTATCATGTCTGTTTATATATGATGACCTTCACTCATAAAAAAGGTCACAGGGGTCAAACATGTTGAAATACTTAAACAACTTCCTCCGAATAACGAAGAGGTATAGGGTTAATATATTTGATCAGTAAATGTGCTCAGCTGAAGAGCTGTCGAGTTTATTTCAATGAGTAACCTCAACCAATACCCAAATGTCTAGGGCTGTGATATTAAGCATAATGCATGCTGTGTTCATGCATGTTTACAGTTTGTTCAACGTAATTACCTTGTCAGACATTCAAGGTCACAAGGGTCAAACAAGTGACTACACATGTACCTACAAATGTATATGTATACTTATTGTAACACGCAGACAACATGATTTCTTTTCTAGTATTCACATATTATAACATGCATTTAGTTCATATCTACTGACAGGAATATCAGTCCTATCCATATCTTATCTGACGCATACATCCTGTGTCGTTAACAATCAAGTAGTATTGACACAATATTGCTATAGACAAACACAAAAGGAGCGTGGCCCATTATTAGATATGACCTATTTTTCTAATTCGCTGAATCGGTACACGTCTGGGTTTTCTGAAAAGCGTAGAGAGGTATATCATCATTTGTGGCGACACGGGGTGAACAGGAAGGGTACGTATTTGTGTGAAGATTCATTTATGTAACTATTTGTACTTGGCCAGCACGATATCATACAAACGATACTTGTTAAAGCGACATTGTGTGTTTAGATTTAAAGTTCATGTTTGCGATATTGTGTGTTTAGATTTAATATTCATGTTTTAGTATACTACAAAACAGGAGTTTTGTCCTTCATGTTTTCCCAGGTTCAGATTGTAACTCTTTAACTACCAAACATGATTTCTATTTCCTTTTTGTTGTCTTTTGACTTTTAGATTCGAAATGAAATACCTTTCTGTATAGGTGCGGCCAATTAAAATCGCCATAAAGCATAACAAGCTAGTGATGATGCCGCCATATATATATTCCTCATACAACCATACCTGGAATTCAAACCTGTTATTGTGTTACAGTGAGTGAAATTCATCAAGTGAGAAAACAAAAAGTAAAAGATTTGAATAATTAAGTAAAACAATGGTCTATGTTTCGGTCAATTGAACTCCAACGGTCAAACCTGTATAGTAATATACACATCTGTAAAATTTGGAGTTGAAGGTATTTGTATGCGTCATCAAACTTTCTGCTGTTTAATTTTCATTTGAATGTGCATATAAATATAGGATCATACATGAGTTTCCATGTCATACGAGACTTATAAAATAAATTCGTGGCGAGTTTCATAAATCTCATATGACATGGGAATAAGTGTAAGATCATTTATATCATATAACTGAAATTATGGTTATTCATTCGATAAAACAAACAACTGCATCGTCCGTCATTTCATCAGCTGTTTTTTGCACTAATGTAGTTCAGAAATATAAGAACTGTAACAAATAACGTTCGAAAAAACCAACTCAAACAACATGGATGAATATTCATATTTACACAGAAATTTCAAGGTATCAACAGCTTCACTGAGACTGACTATCACTGTCCGATTCGATAATCTTACGTCGTTTCACTGGTTTGGGAAGTGATGTCAGAGATTGTTGATAAATGTTAATGCTGAAACATCCACGGTAAATGTTTCCTCCAAACACAGAATGCACATTTCCATGGAACCATCTTGAAATTTTGCGTCCGCCATGTTCAGTACGAGACGACGTAGTGCGGAGTAATTTACTATCGTCAGAACGTGTGATGCTTTCAATCAATCAAAATCGCTCCAGGTCATATAATATGAGTTAATATGCAAACTATGGAATGGGTGCATCCACTGTATAATAGGGGAGTTATATGATAAAGTATCTTATGCACTCTCCTGAACTATGTGACACGGTTAGTAATGTCTCCTGAACTATGTGACACAGTTAGTAATGATTGGTGGCATCTACTGAAGACTTGTGAGTAATTCTAATTAAAGGGGCTTTATATCATTCTCACAAATGGTGCGTTTTTAGAATAGGGGTTGTCACTGCTCCGGTTCATTGTATCGCGATATATAGCCGGTGTGTATGCCCGGTCTAAGTCACACGAATACATGTCTCGCACACGAGCATATGTCTGTCACACGTACAAGACGCACATTTTACGAAACAACAAACTTACATAAACACCCTAACAGACAGATATATTTACAAAGGCACACGCTTAACAATGAAATTGCTGATAAATTCCCGACAACATAAAATATTATGTTAAATGTATATTACATATTGTCTGGTTTCCTTAAGTCTCACTGGCTGATCCTTGACTTTAGGTTCGTCAATACAACATATCTATCTCTTATTTCTACCTTTGTCTTGCACGTGACCATATCCACCTCACTTCTCTTACACATGTATGTATATGACATGAATTGTTTTCGCCTTTTCGCCCTTGAAAAGCCACAAAACGAATTAACGAAAAGACGATTTTTTTCTTTATTTCGATTTGGCGGGGTTTTGTCTATTCATTATACAGTCTTGGCTTTTTTTTCTTTTTTTTCTTTTCTGTATTGTGTTTTGTCGTTTGGCGTCTTTCCGCGGGTGACAAGGCGAAAAGACGAAATATCATGCATTTGTACGTCACCATAGTCACATAGGCTTTAAAAACCTGTCATCGCTTTTCGTGATGATTAACAACTCACGCACAAAATTGTCAAATCCTTACAGACTGCTACTTAGTATATTTTAGTACACATTGCCATTTTTCCTTTAAGATTTTGTTTGATAAATCTTGGAACGTTGACACTGTGATATGTATCGGAAGGTTTTTGAAAAGCTAACCATGCTTTTTAAATGCAATAACCTTGGAGTAATAAAGGGTAAGAGGATACTGTATGTTTTGGAGGGTATTCGAGTATGTTTACAGAATCTAGAAAATTAAACACTCCGACACATGTTCAGTTGTGTTTGTAACATGTATGAGTCACGTAAAAGATATTTTACGCTTAGTTAAACACAATGGGACCCGCTGTGTCGGCTGACGTATGATAAAGACCAGGTATATGAATTTTGTTTCGCAGAATTCTAAAAATAGTGTCCATAATGGCAACTCAAACGGAATGTTTACTTCGATTTAGGGGAGGTACGTATGTCTCATGTAGGCGGACGTTGAGAATATAAGTGATTAATACATATGTGATAATCAGTCGGGTACGTAGTTCTTCAGTGTTTATAGTTTAAAGTATCGGTGTGTGTCGGTGAAGGAGTTTAATTTTAGACATCCATTTGTCACCACTTACAATTTGTTCTTACGTGTAAACAATATCTGTACAAGTCTCTTTAACATATTTACACATGTACCTACACATGTATTTGTCATCTGACGCATACATCCTGATCGGGTATGTCGTTGGGATTAAATAGTACTGACACAATATTAATGACACTTTAAACTCAAAAGCAGCGTGGGCCATGATATGATTTGACCTACATTTTTAATTCGCAGAATTGGAACACGTCTTGGTTTTCTGAAAAGTGTAGAGAGGTATATCATCATTTGTGGCGACACGGGGTGAACAGGAAGGGTACGTATTTGTGTGAAGATGCATTTATGTAATTATTTGTACTTGGCCAGCACGAGACTCTACAAACGATACTTGCTCATGCAATATTGTGTGGTAAGATTTAAAGTTTATGTTTAATGTACTACACAAAAGGATAATTACCATCCAACCATACATGACATCCCTGTCTGTTATTCTGTTACGGTGAGTCAAATTCATCAAATGAGGAAAAGTGACCCAGGGCTCCGGAAAACCACACGATCGCTTGTCCATGGCGAGTGGAAATCAGATTTGGCAAGTGGTTAAGACTAACAACTCGTCCGGCGGACGAGTACTTTTCCTAAACATCAAAGTTTAAATCCACTTATGTGGTTTGCTCTACGCTGTGTTTAAATTATAAATAGACCCATCTGTTAAAATTATCACGCTCAGCGTGTATGAGATGCCGATACGGTGCGTTATGACAAGTCCCGAAAACCCCTGAAATAAATAAAATGAGCTCTGAAATGAGCATCCGGTTTCTGGTCTGGATGAGTGCAGAGACACCCCGAAATATGCGTCGTTCTTAAAATAGAACTTATATTATGACGAGCAGACAGCTGAAACCGGCTGATTTGAATAACCATTGAAAGCCTACAAACGTGACAGTTACAGAGCCAGTGACACACGGACATCAAACTGAACGCACGCAAATAGATTAAAGAAAACAACAGGTAAAATAATGAACATTGTATTCAATAATGCTCAGTGGCAAAGGAAATCATTTGTAGGAGTGTTTGCTTACAGGAGGCCGAGCGTCGGAGTAGGGGGAGGGTATGAGTTTCCCCTCCAATAGCGGGGGNGGGGGGGGGGGGGGGGGGGGATAAAGTGTACCACAAGGGCCTAGAAGCAATCTCGTATTCTGAGAAAAATCTATCAGTCTGGATATTAACAAATATAACCGGACCTTTTATATGATTAATTTCAAATTTAGTACATCACAAAGTAGTTTTTGATTTACATAAATCTTCGAGATTATTCGATGTGTATAGTCAACCCTATTTAATAAGACTAAAAGTTTCATGATTTGTTTTTATTCTTAACTTTTGTTTTATGATTGATACGGACGGTGAATATAAATCATAAACAAAAATGAATTAATAAAAATATAAGATCAAAAATAATCTTGAAATTTTAGTGTATGCTTGAGCATACAAGTGAGTTACGCCACTGCTGCTCATGTTGCCAAACAAAGTATTGCCTTTTTATTTTTAAGATTATGTCTAGATTAGATGCTTATTTGTTATTTTCCTGGACGAGTGCTTTTTTCTGTTTGAACGAGTACTTTTTGCCATGTACTTGTCCACCAGACAGTGGTTTCAAACGTTTTTCCAGAGCCCTGAACAGATGAGTAGAAATTTTTGGAAAATTAATTAAGACAATGTTTCGGTTAATTGAACTCGTACGGTAATTCCTGCATAGTTATTTACACATCTGTGAAATTAGATTTCAAGTTATTTTCTACTGTATATTTTTGGTAAGATGTACATTTGAATGTGCATAAAAAGTAAATTACGTACTCTCAATCTAATTAAAATCAGATCTCTCATTACACTACGTTATAGTTACGTCCAATTAGATTGGTACTCTCCTGAACTATGTTACACAGATAGTAATGATTGATGGCATCTACTGAGGACTTGTAAATAATACTAATTAAAGGGGGAACATATAATTTGTACAAACGGTGCGTTTTGAGGATAGGGGTTGTCACTGTTCCGGTTCATTGTACTGCAATTGCCGGTGTGTACAATCGGTCTCACGAACACACATCTCTCACACGAACAAAGACGCATATTGTACGTAACAAAACACTAACTCAAGCGCACTAACACAGAAATACATGCTCTCACACTTACTTACAGAAACCCATGCTCCACAATTAACTGGCAGGTAAATTCTCGACTACACATAATATTATGTTACATGTATATTACATATTGTCTGACTTGCTGAACCTTGAATTCAGGTTCGTCCATATACAACATTTCAATTTTCGTTCTGTTCGTGAACTGTTTTATGCATTAATATTTTGGAAGTTGCACTTTACTCATCAATAGATACACAATTTAATGGTTGAACACGAATTACATTTTACTATTATTTTCACTATTGTTTCCTTATTCTGCAACCCAAATTACATACTTAATTAATTCAACTGGCTTCCGCGATACTGCAGGGGTTACGCTCACCATATCATGAAACAAATCGAAGGCACATGTACAGTGTGCGTCACCTTGTGGATGAGACATCTATTAATCTTAAGACTGACCATGTCATTCACTTATTCGCAGGAATCCATGATATCTTTTGTTTTGATTTCGTACATTTCATACATTTTATAAATTCCTTTATCGCGCCCCATTAAAACATTACTTCAATTTCTCACGAGTCACATACAGCTTTATTTTTAATGTACAGATGATCAGCCGCATTGAGTTAGGAAAAAGGATTCTTGAGGAAAGGCCGGAATCACGTGATGAATGGATAACAGATCAATCATTGGAAGGTGTCAAACTTGGAAATTTCGCATGGAAACGTCAACGATATTTTGTAATGAGAATGATCCCAACATTTGCGAAATATAGTTATAAGGCAGCATCTGAAACGGTGAGCTACATGTATGAAAGGAGATTTCTAACTCGGATATATATTATCTAGTATTCAGTTTCTAAATGACCCTCAGCTTCTCGCTTTTTATACGCCGTCAAATTTGACGGGAGTATTATGGTATTGGTATGGCGTTGTCCGTCCGTCCGGCGTAAACTTTTGTTTGTCCGGAAATCTCCTCCTACATTTTTCGACCGATCTTATTGAAATTGGTATACATTATAATCATGATATGAAGTTGTGTCTCCCGACAATTTTTCCAAAAGTCATTGCCCTTTGTTCATTTCAGTATTTGTATTTGATTTTGTCCGGCAAAATCCTCCTACATTTTGATTTCTTTGAAACTTGGTATACATTATAATCATGATATGTTTTTGTGTTTCCTTGAAAAGAATTTTGATGCGACGATTTTTGCAAAAGTTATTGCCCTTTGTTCATTTCAGTATCTGATTTTCTCCTACATTTTTATAGCATGTCAGCTAACCACTCTTTGAATGAAGTATATAACACTATATGGCATTCGACGGGCGTATATTGGTCCGCCCCGCGGTACTCTTGTTTCATTTAATCTTGTGTACATTGTGTATGTGTACCAAAAAACTTCTCGCATAAATAATAATATTACCTACAAACATCCTGTATTATACGTATGTGGACGGCAAATCTGGTGTGCGAGCATAACATATAGATTCCGAACTTTATTCCTGTAGTTTTTTGGTCATTTTCCGTTTATTTAAACATTTTAAACGTTTTTTTAAATTGTCTCTTTTCAGTTGGAAGAATATCTTCAAGATGGTGTTAAGTTCACATTTAATACTGATCATTCTAGCATGTCATTACCTGCGAAAACCTACGAGTACAAACACACATGGACTCTTGAACTTATGAACATGTGTGGATTGAACGATCAACACAGTGATAAGGGAATGATACCAGCTATAGATTTAACCATCACCAGAATCAATAGAAGAGATCTAGAACACAATCTAAAATCACGGTAATAAGTATTGGTAGCATTAACTGAATCATTTAGATTGTTGCTCCCTCGTGATTTACAATGATGTTAACGTATTATCATCCGCCATGAAATTGTTAAGTCAAATCATCGCCTTAATGCTATATCAAACATCTTAAACCTTTTAGTTTATTATTTAGAAACTAAATTTAGTGGTAATGTTCCGAACAATTCAGGCATTTCTCCCCGCCAACTCGTTTGGCCTATATTTCAGATACGGTTTTGCTCTCTCGAATTGTCACAAAAGTCAGTATGTTTTCTTGACATTATATTTTTAATTATTAACTTGATATTCTGAAGAAAATTGAGATATTTAGAGAATTTTGCGAGGAATTGTTAAATAATCCCACAAGACTACATATTTAAAGGTCCTAAAATCTTTTCACAAATACTCTTTGCTATAAATGTCCGATTTGTTTTTGTTCCTAAGGAAACTTGACATGACATCATCTTATATCAAAGAAAAGAAAAGAAACACGTATATCCCCTGCATCATCAGTGGAATCGTTGAAGCCTCCACTCCTGAGGATCAACCTGACACAAAGGCTTTTGAAGAAAGAAAGCGACAGATTGGTGGAAACGTAAAGTTAGATTCATCTGTAGGGACCTCGGATGTATTGGTATGATTAATAGGTTGTTAAAAGTGTTTTCTGTCATTAATTGACCTTTTCCTGCTGTCATTATTCTTACGTATATCGGATAACTTTAACAAGTAACCCTCCATTCATTGTTAAAATATAATAGTATGTTGTAGGCGGGAAGAACAACGCAATTAAGGTTTTCTTTGGTTTTTGTTTTGTATCTTAATTAGGGCCCTACATCAATATTTAGGTTCCCCATAGTAATCATCTTATCCGTCCGTCCTTCCGTCTGTCCATTTTTGATTTTCGCACAGTTACTTACGTAGTTAGATGTTCAAGTTGTGTGTGTGGTCCCATATAACAAGTAAAATCCGGCAATATTTGCAAGAGTATTTGGACTTTGAATGCCAAAACATTGCGTTTTTATGACTTTCCGCACAATCACTTTCGTATTTGTGTTCGGAAGTTAACCAAATTTGACGTGTGGCTTCATATCAAAGAAACTTTCTGAAATTTGACATGGTGATACACTGTGAAATCTAGCTGTTCGATAGGGGTTTAATTTTTTTAAGGTCAAGGTCACTGTTTCTAAAATATATAATGTGGGTAGCTCAGTCCTAATTCCCAAACTAAAAAGTATATTTGTTTTTAATTTGACATCGCGATATACTGTAGATTTTGTAATATTGGGTAAAAAATTTGAGGTCAATGTTGCTGTTACTTAAAACAGACGGCGGGAGTCGGTCAGTCACATGGCAGGCCCCTAGCTGAACTGTCAGTGTTCTAGTTAAGCTCTAGTTATCTTACTACGTGGTGATGAGAGTACCTTTTTCCGATATAAGGAAAACATGATCCGGGTCAAGAAAAAATATAGAATGGAAAAGGAAGGAAAGCCATATTATACGTTCACAATAAACTAGATATTCGCTTATAATAGATGTAAATCAGGTGGCAAAGGGTCACATAGTTCTCTGAGCAAAATACTGGAGCGCTTGGAACTGCTGAATTCAGTTGTCGAGTTCCAAATCGGTCAGATTTGGAAGTGAAGTTAACACAGCTAACTTGTAGCAATGTTGATTGGTATGGGAAACACTGATATGATTCACTGTCACTTTATAACGTATGAATTTGCCTTTGCAAGAACAGCTAGCAAATTGCTGTTATGGACCCTTGCGTGTTGTTTTACGCAGCATGTCTGGTTTTCACTGTCAATAAAATAACTTGCATGACACAAGCAGCAATATTTTTTCTTAAACGCCTTGTGCGAAAGGGTGTGTTCCACATCAATTGCAATCACGATACTCCACCGCTAATCTCAAACCTCATGGTAAAATTTTATCTGAATCACTGATGCTATTTTCAGGACTCTGTTACTCCAAAGGGTAATATTGTAAGCAAGACATGTGAAAGGACTGAGGGATTCATAAATGGACCCGTTCTCTACAAGGTGTTACCGCTTGAGGTAGACCCGACTGGATGCATTGAAGCAAAGGAAGACTCTAAAGGGTTCATAGAGAACAAGGTTGTAGCTGACTCAGCAAGCGGAAACTTCTCTAGCAGTATGTACTATTTTAGCATGGTTTTTCGGCGTTTACTTTGTCCGGTAATTATAATATCGCGAATATAAGCAGTACTTTTCGAAGATAATGTTCCTTTGTGATGCGGTATTTTCGATAATAGGCTGCATTTCCATAGTATTCAGCTTAGCCAAAATATGTTATATTTCAGGCAATATGTTATATTTGCGTTAATAGGTATTATTTCCTGAAGCTTGCAATATTTTCGGTAGTATGTAATATTTCTCGCAGAATGTTATATTTGTCATGTATGGTTGTTTGTGTGTGATAAACTACCATGCTAGTCAGCCATATTTTTTATTCTAACCAGAACGAGGCCGGAAGGCACAGATAGTCGATAAACTCAACTATACGATTTTTGTAAATAGAAGATGATTCTAAGCAGAATACCAAACTATTGGTTTTATAATTCCCGGAAGCTTACAGTATCTAAGATAGTAGGTTACGTTTTCTGGCAGCATGTAATTTTGGTAAATATCGTTTCCGGCAGTTCTTAGTATTTCCGGTGGTACGTGTGTATGTTAAATGTCTTGCAGTATGTAATACTGGCGTTGGTAATATCACTTTCAGCAGTTTTCTGTTTCCGTTTAGTATATTTGTATGGTATATATATGTACACTATGGTTTAGTTAAAGTATAAACTTAAACTATAATGACTGATATATATCTTTAGATATATATCTTTTCATTATGTCATATCAATATATCTATATTTATGTTTATAAATAACATTTTTCATAATAACTGAAGCAATTATTACTATTGTAGCGATCCCTGATCCCACGCTCAAAGAAAGCTTCAATGATATAGAAAAACATCTCCAGCCTGTAATTGAAGACCAATCTGTGGCTGATGCATTTAAATCCATTTCCAACGAGGACATACATTACTTATGTCGTTTGGTAAGTTGACCTTCTCATACCTAATGGACAACTCAGAATGTTCCCGTCTTGCTGAAGGGTCTATGTAAGGAGGGTCTGGACATAAGTTTTCTAATCCGTGAAGTATGTGGGCATTTACAATTGAAAGTGACCGAGGTTTGACAAAGCGGTATACTGGTAGGGCAATTATAGTCAGCTTCTGTGTGAGGACCTGTTGCTCACTGTCCAAGCCTGTAACAATACATTTTTTCTGGCATGACCATAGCTTTGATTATCATTTATAAAAAAAAATACATTGCGCAACTTTAATGAAAGGATTAAAGATGAAATAAACAAAACATAATCAACAACAGTGTTCTATACATGTGTACAGTTCTGCGCGGCTAGACTATGTTTCGAACACTGAACCACAATTTGGTATACTGTTTCTTGAAACAACTGAACTACCAGATAAACGATAGTATATTGTCCTAATTACGCTCCGTATATATCCAAACGAAGATAAGTTGATGCTTATTATATACGAAAAAACCACAGCGTGTTTTACGTGCAGTGGGCTTGTATCCTTAAGACAGTCCGGTCATACTTATATTCGTAGATCGTGAGGCATGCGGTATTTCAATTTCGCCAAGTTATGAGGCCGTTTACGACGGTTTGGAGATATGAATATTTGTTGTTGCAGATTTGAATATTAGTGTCGGTGTTACATGTTTTAGGCCGTGGAACACAATATTATTCATCTTAGCTTCTATATCTTAGTCAAAACTTTTCAAATGTATTGATAACAGGTTTTAGAAAGAAGGTTCATTGGTTAAAAACAATGTTTTCAAATAAATCTGATAAAATCATCTCTTAACACCATAGCTATTTTGCAAGTCTTAATTTATTTTGTGTTTTGTCAGAAATGTAGGATATTTTACACGTTTCTCGTAAAATAATTTTCAAAACCTTTTTTTGGGTTCTTAATCAGTTTGAAAGGGTGCAAGACTGTCCGGACGATGTAGAAGAGCCCGATAAAATGTCCTCAGAATGCCGCACGATTTTGTTATTTGCGAAATTTCAACCCAAGGTACGTACACATAATAACATAACACAATTGAAAATTTATATAGATTCACAAATGAACTGATTATTACATTTTGCCGAATACAATTATATGCGACCTTCTTAACTTACACTTACGCTCGATATTACGTCTTACTGTATGTATACATCATTATTTTTAAAATTCAGTATGTGCTAAAAAATGTAACATACAAAAATGTAACATACCGTTTTATGTCGAAAAGATTGCTAAGCAATTTGATGTCTAAATGACACATCAATGCTGTATAAATGGTAAATTTACTTCCTATTTTTTCATTTGAAATGAAGACACGTAACAATTTGTTATTTTTACAAGAGTGTCCTTGTTAAACTCAGATGATAATGAATTATCTTTACTGTATTGGTTTATTCTAAAGGAACCGGGCAAACTTGTCCTAAAAGAGAGGTTTCAAGAAGGCAATTCCTTCACAAGCTGTTACTACCTAGCCGCTGTGCTGGCCGAGGTCCCTACGTCAGTCCGTCAACTTTTCAACCAGACCACTGTCAACTTATTCCCTCTGGTAATTATCATCGGTTGAACAAGCAAAATGTGGCCGCAATAACACTCTCCGCTGTCGGAGTGGACTTTATAAAACCCGTTCATAGAGGGTGATATAGTCATCCTCTAATCGAGGGTGATATATTTACCCACTTATCGAGGGTGATATATTAACCCACTAATCGAGGGTGATATATTCACCCCACTAATCGAGACATATATATTTACCCACTAATCAAGGACGTTTTATATCTTAAATTGTCGCATAGACGTGTCACTTTTCCTTTGATCTACCTACATAGTATAAGCAACTAATTTTATACAATTTTAGTAATACCATATGGTGTGAGTGAAAATCCTCCCTTCTACCGCGTACAATACATTTCTCCATCCTCATTGGTCTGCCATTTAAATGTAACGTGTCCAAGTAATGAAAATCATTAATTAAACCTGTCAACAGGAAATGACACCGCAGGAAATAAATTAAAAATCAAAAAAGAAGAGGACTTACTTACATTATTCAGAAAAATAAAACGTTGCAAATATTAAACAAACAAAATTCACCGTAACAGAGTCCGCAAACGAACCTTTTGTTTTCATTTTGTAACATGTAACACGGAACTAGATCATTTTAGTCCGTGATTATTAAACCATGTCCTTTTCTGTAGGGATGCTAATGTTTACATGTGTAGGTCCAATATCAGAATTAACATCATTTTTACATAACGACTTCAATGTTTGACCATTCTCCTTCGGATGCTGGGATTTGTAAGTCCTGACTGCCTACGGGGTCTGGAAAGCGACCAAAACGTATTCGGATGGTGCTGAGAAAATGTGCTTTACAATGATGTTTTTAATACGATATCTGTTGGCGGTATGTGAAGTGACAAATAAAATGAAGGACAGTTTTACTGCTGATCTCGGAAATTGGTAAAATGAGTCATTTCTTTACGACAGGGATTAAGTCTTCGATTGTGATATAGATTTCTTTACTTGTAACCTTCACTTTTCGAAACCGAATAATCCAAATATGTCGATTTTGATTTTCTATTAATATATATGAATAATTTATATTTTTACAGCTCAAAGACATCCTTCTTGAAAGACCTCGAAAAGATATTGAAATTAACGATGACATCTTGAAATGCAATGAGGCCAAGGCACTTCTGGAAATGTTAGACATTTGTACAAAAGGGTCTACTGTCGACGCAGCTCCTGCATCTCAGGCACTGTTGGTGAATGCCGTCTGGATAGCCATGTTGTATGGCTGGCATAGTCGTAAAGAACAGCAGTGACTATCTGATACAGAGTTTCAGCAGAACTTTGTCATTCCACATTAAAGAAAGTGTGTTTGGTTTATGTTTAAATTTTACAGCTGATTCAAGAAAACTTAACAATTGTTTGATATTGACTTTTTTTTAAATTCTAAACTTGGTGAAATTGTTGACGATGCACTTTTATGAACAACGTAAATTGTATAAATAAGGCTAGTTACATGAACAGTATCGCAATTTAGGAGCCGAGCATGTCATTTAAAACCATGTCATTATATCTTGTCGCTGTTCTCTTAACAGTTTATACGGAATTGTTTCTATCACTACTCTTGTATTCTGAAAGGTGGTATATCGTAGACTGAAGTTAAGTTATCACCGTAAGCAAAGTCTTTTTAGGATACATGTTTCACTTCCAAAGCTGCAATAATGCATCGGTAAGCTTCGTGACCCGCCATATAGTTTAATAAGATCATTTCTTATTGATTCACTCTGAAAAACAAAACAAAAGAAATCTACAACAATGTTTTGATTTAAATGTAGTGAAGTCGGACCAGGATTCGAGTCCTGCTTCCACGATCTGTAAACTGTTGCACTTACCGAACTAAAGAACTGCATCACTAGAAGTTCCCCTGCCAAGTCGCCCTAAAAATGAATCCAAACGAAATTAAGGCGAGGTAACTGTGTATATGAAAATAACAACAACAATGGGACTCTCTAATGTTTTTGCTTCAGTAGAACAGGGATCTATAATTACAAAAAAAAATAGTGCAATGATCTCAATACCCTTCTCTTTTCTCTTTTAAGTTTGTCCGGTTCCTTCAGAATAAACAAATACAGTAAAGATAATTCATTACCATCTGAGTTTAACAAGGACACTCTTGTAAAAATAACAAATTGTTACGTGTCTTCATTTTAAATGAATAAAATAGGAAGTAAATTTACCATTTATACAGCATTGATGTGTCATTTAGACATTAAATTGCTTAGCAATCTTTTCGAAAGGTATGCTACATTTTGAATATTAGCACATACTGAATTTTAAATATAATGGTATATACAGTCAGTAAGACAGTAAGAATATTAGAATACACCAAATTATAAATATAATGATATATACAGTCAGTAAGACGTAATATCGAGCGGTATCAATCAAAAAGAAAAACTGTAATTATTCTACTTAGTGTAAATTAACAAGGTCGCATATAATTTTATTCGGCAAAATGTAATAATCAGTTCATTTGTGAATCTATATGCATTTTCAATTGTAGTCTGTTATGATGTGTACGTACCTGGGGTTGAAATTTCGCAAATAGCAAAATCGTGCGGCATTCTGAGGACATTTTATCGGGCTCTTCTACGTCGTTTTGACAGTCTTGCACCCTTTCAAACTGATTAAGAACCGAAAAATGTTTTTGAAAATTATTTTACGAGAAACGTATAAAATACCCTTCATTTCTGACAAAACAAAAAATAAATTAAGACTTGCAAAAATGTTATTAAGAGATAAATTTATCAGATTTATTTTAAATACATTGTTTTTAACCAATCAACTTTCTTTCTAAAACCTGTCATGAATAAATTTTAAAAGTTTTGACTAAGATATAAAAGCTACGATGAATAATATTGTGTTTCACGGCCTAACACATGTAACACCAACACTAGAATTCAAATCTGCAACAACAAATATTCATATCTTCAAATGTCGTAAACGGCCTCATAACTTGGCGAAATTGAAATACCACATGCCGCACGATCTACGAACATAAGTATGACCGGACTGTCTTAAGGATACAAGCCCACTGCAGGTAAAACACGCTGTGGTTGTTCGTATATAATAAGCATCAACTTATCTTCGTTTGGATATATACGGAGCGTAATTAGGACAATATACTATCGTTTACCAGGTAATTCAGTTGTTTCAAGCAATTGTATAACAATTTGAGGTTCATTGTTCGAAACATAGTCTAGCCGTGCAGAACTGTACAAATAGAACACTGCTGTTGATTATGTTTTGTGTATTTCATCTTTAATCCTTTTATTAAAGTTGCGCAATGTATGGTTTTCATAAATGATAATCAAAGCTATGGTCATGCCAGAAGAAATGTATTGTTCCAGGCTTGGACAGTGAGCAACAGGTCCTCACATAGAAGCTGACTATAATTGCCCTACCAGTATACCGCTTTGTCAAACCTCGGCCACTTTCAATTATAAATGCCCACATATTTCACGGATTAGAAAACATATGCCGTGACCCTCCTTACCGTAGACCCTTCAGCCAGCCGGGAACATTCTGAGTTGTCAATTAGGTATTAAAAGGTCAACTTACCAAACGACATAAGTAATGTATGTCCTCGTTGGAAATGGATTTAAATGCGTCAGTCACAAATTGGTCTTCAATTACAGGTTGGAGAAGGAAACCAGAGTACCCTTAGAAACCCCATGTTGCCTGACTTTAAATATTAGCCAGTTGTATGTTGTATTAGGGACAATAAAGTAAAAGTATCATTAAATTGAATATAAACTTAGTGATTGTTTTTTGTAGTCGAGCATGCGATAATACTATTTGCATGTACAATACATGATACAATTTAAGATAAACGGAACTAGGAACCAGACCCTAGTTCCGTTTAAGGAAAAACGTAACTGGGAACCAGACCCCAGTTCCGTATAGTAAACGTTTACCTTTTCTGTAATTCTGTCCCTGTCTACCTCGAAAAACGAAAGGCCAAAGGCGCGTAGTTATATCTGAATCAAGTACAGGAATCGAACCCACAACCTTTCACACGAAAATTAAGACCACCATAGCCTCTATAAGGTAATTGGTCTTGTACGGAACTGAGTGTCAGACTCCAGTTACGTTTTTCCTTAAACGGAACTGGGAACCAGCCCCTAGTTCCGTTTAACATAAACGGAACTGGGAACCAGACCGGGGTCCGTATAGTAAACGTATATGTTTTTTTTGTAATTCTTTCCCTGTCTACTTCGCAAAACGGAAGGTCAAAGGCCCGTATTTGTATCTGAATCAAGGACAGGAATCGAACCCACACGTTGATTCAGGATTAAACAGGAATTAAGACTATGTAATGATATAACTACCATCTGAGTTACATCAAAATATTACAAAGTTCTCTTTTTCCATTTTGTTTTTAAACTCATATCTTTATATATTTACATCGATATATCGTCAAATGTATAGTATGAACGTTTCTCTAACAATTACAAAACAGACCTTCTCCCATTTTATCTCCGTCATTCTTTTTGCTGCCTGACGGAAGCGCGCAGAGGGTTTAGTTTTTAATATGGGAGGAAACCGGAGTATTCGGGAAAAAATCATGTGTTGGGCAGGTGCGAGGGATCAAATCCGGCCATCTTTGTGAAGACGAGAGCGCTTTCTACGTTCTACGTTTCTACTTTCTCGCTATAATGATTTCATGCCTCGTTTAAAGGACTAAGAAAGGTACGTCCACTACTATTCTGAACCCATTCACGGATTGTTGCACTAGTCGGTCAACCTCGGAAGTATTTTTAGTCGGAAAACGGTCAAGGGTGATGATATTGATACATACAGAAATTCGAGGGCAATAGTTCTCCTGGTCATCCCCTGGGGGAGTAACGGTCCTAGTTCTCTGGTCATTCCGGTCACGTTTCCAGGAGTACGGTCACGAACCGTGTTGCTCTTCTTTTTACTCTCTCAATTTTCTATGTTATGTTTTCCTAATAGGGTCCGTCCCACACTGTTGAAGCATACTCAACTAATGGTCTTACTACTATGGTATGCAGCCGCCTTGATAATCTGTTTTCATTCTCTCATATCCCTTCTCAGTACTCCAATGGTCCTGTTGGCTTTGCTAGTGATGTTACTCACATGCCAGTCCCATCTTAGGTGTTGGTCGATGTTCACGCCAAGGTATTTGCTGCTGCTGACGATCTCTAGGGTGTGGCCATGCAGGGTGTACGTGGTCTACAGCGGTTTCTTCCTCCTGTTTGTGATATATATGAAAGTACACATTTCATGGAAAAGCCATCTACCATTGCTGTTCCCTGTTCTGCAGTTTGTCCAGATCTTGTGTAAGTTTAACGAATCTTGGGTGTTTCTAATTTTCCTGAATAATAGGCAGTCGTCTGCGAACAATTTAGCCACGGTATCTGTAGAGATGCTATCCGGTAAGTCATTTATAAAGGTAAGCCATAAAAGAGGTCCCAGAACTGTCCCCTGTGGGACTTCAGAACGTACAGCCGCAGTAGATGATGTTTTGCCGTCTAATGTCACTTGCTGGGTCCGATGCGATAGGAAGTCTCTAATTCACATCTATATGTTCCGTCTCACACCGTAGAATTCTAGTTTCCGGAGGAGTCGCTATCGCGGCATCTTGTCAAAAGCCTGCAGGAGTACATCCATCTACTCCCCCTCGGTCAATTACTTCGCCATCTCCTGAATATTAAGGATGAGTTGAGTCCCGCAGGACCAACGTGATCTGAAACAATGTTGCTCGTCGACCACGGTATTATTATTGTCGTAGTGATCCATGATGTTGCTGTAGATAATGTGCTCGAGCAATTTACTTGCAATCGACGTCAGTGACACTGAGCCGTTATTGGCAGGTTGTGTCTGTCTCCCGTCATATAAATATGTACAATTGAAGCTTTCCGTCAGTCCTCAGGTATTTCCCGCTGCTCAGGGAGCACTGGAAAATCCTGGTAAGAATATATATGGGCTACATGAAGAGCGGAGTCATTGAGGGTCCTGGCTGGTATGGAGTCGGGGCCTGAGGCCTTATGCGGCTTCAGTCAGTCCAGTCAGCAGCTTATGCACTCCTCGCATATATGTGGTGATGTCGGGCGCTGGTTCCTTCCTTTGTCCGGAATTTCACTCTCAAGTCCTCTTCTATGTAAACCGATTCGAACTGGCTGTTTAAGATCTCAAACTTAGTTCCGGTGTCACTGTGTAGGAATTCGAAGCCGTCTTGGTGGTTTAATGGGGCAACTCCACTGCTGTCTGTCCTTTTCCCTTTTAGATACGACCAGGACTACTTATGGCTGTCCGTGTATTGGTTGCTGATGACTTCATCTAGGTATATGTCATGTGCTTTCCTCGTTTCCTGCTGGGTGATGACCTTCAATTTCCTATATCTTTTCCAATCATTCTCTGTCTTAGTGCTGTACGCTGTAGGCCCTTGCTTTCCTCCTACTCAGGCGATTTATGTCACTGTTCGCACACGAACTGGTGTATGTTTGATGACGTAACATTTACCGCTAACGTCCTATGGCGTGTTCATTATTGCCTCTGATCTTTTTTGAAAAGCCGACAATATTTTTACAAACTTCAACGATCTTCTTCTCAAATGCTGCCATTGCAATATTAACCGCAATTGGTACATGTATTCCTCTGGTCGCCCTTACCAACCTATGTTACTTTTTGGAGCAACTAATATTCTAAGATGGCCGCCACGAACTCTGATTGGTTAATAGCCTATACCAATATATTTTTTTAACGATATCAAGCACGAGGTTGATCTTTGGTTATCATATAGAAATAAGCAAGAGCAAACTTTTTCTTTCATACTGTTTTAACAAAAAACGTCAACTTCCAGTTTTCGGTAGGGGTCAAAGTTCAAATGCACTACATCGGGTAACAAACTTCAAAAATCTTCTTTATAAGTTCCACGAGGTATAGAGTCTTGATATTTCATATTTAGGATGTTGAGATAGTTGGGTATCAGGTTTTAGCAGAAAACATTTTGAGTTGACCAGGTCAAGTTTTCATATGTGCTATTTCAAGATAATAACTTCAAAAAACTTCTTCTAAAGTTCTACAAGGTCTAGAGTCCAATCTTTTGATAAATAACATGGTTAGGTAACTTACTATCAAGACTTTCAAGGTCACAGAGGTCATATATGTAAAAATATTGAAACCACTTTTTTTTAAATAACCAATAATTCCAGGGTAACAATTTTTCGTAAGAAGCATGCTTGAATGAAGGGCTTTAAAGTGTGTGCAAATGAATGACCTTGACCTACTCTAAATATAATTTCAAAAGTGAAAGTCAAAAACCGTTTTCATTTTTGTGCGATTGTGAAGTGCTCTCAGCACTCTCAGTACTTTGATTTCAATCAAGACATCTAATACACAATGGTAATACTACATCGATTACTACGCACTCTCAATCTTAAAAGTATTGACAGTTTACATCTCTACTGCAGTGGGTAAACATCAGCCTTTCTTGTGCATGGCAAACCCAACCGATATAGACAAAAAGCTAGTTTCAATTCATTATCCTGACGTACATAGTGGACGGACTATATGACCTTTCTAGGTATATGACTTATGATGATGTTTACCTAATCTTTAGAACATTTCATCTGCTTAATAAAACATATTAGGTTCTTGACTGTACTACAAATTTTCACATTTAACAATGTCTATCACACAAGTGATATTATCTTATTAATATGCTGTTAGACATTATTATTATTAAGTTTATCATTTGTGAAATACAAGGGTTTATAGTGAATTTTTTAATTGTTAAAAACCATGCTACTTTTCCCAGTTGACTGGCCAGCCTTTACTGACAATGTGATTGTAGCCTTGCAAAATGTTTGAATCGCCATTGATGACCAATGAATTCAAATCAATTCAGCTAGCAATCTGCAAATTTAATGTATCTTGGTGAAAACCTGCTATTTTGTAAGTCGCAGTTCGAATACTTTGCATTCATCACAAATATGAAATGATTCAACCCTCTCCATGAAATATATAGCTGGTAGTCATTGAGAAAATAAGGAACATCTCATTTATCTTTGTTTATCTTTCAACAAAACAAGTTTGATAGCAGCTTTAAAAGCACTGTAATCAATTTTGCCTTTTTATTATTCAAATACTTGTATCAAAATTTGAATAAAAAGTGACCCTCAATTACCATCTATCTGTCTTGAAAAGTTTAAATTTCAAAATTATACATGGCAATCATTTTCTTTTGTATATCAAAGGAGTAAAATAATATCTTTTCCTGTTTTTAAATATAGTAAACACATGCAAAGATTAAATTGGTGACACAAAATAAAACTACAGATTTGAAGGAAAGATGCCAAAATAATCATAATGAATATATTTGTACATCAAAATGCAAACTAATTATGTAATGACTAGTGACAATGTTTCCAAACGTGTGATGATGGACTCCCAGGTGACGATGTTAAACACTGCTGTTACATTGAGGTCTTATGTGACAACATGATATAAAGGCTAACTATAATATCCAGTGTCAATAAACCCTCATTAGAAATCAGACAAATCATACATGTGTATTATTGGCTCATAGTGCTGAATGTTAGACATACAAGACAGTTACCCGGTTCTCATTACGACCCGAGTACCAACAGACATTAGGAAGTGTACAGTTGATATAGAGGAATTATGAGCACTGACCGAGTACTAGGTCTATCGGAGATAACCACTATCATATAGTCACATCTGTGTTAAGAAACCATCCTTGATCAGTTCAAAAAGTAGTCTCCTAATGCTGGTGGTCCCTTATCACTACAAAGAGGAACATTTTAAATGGCCTCTTAGCGAAGGTGGTCCCTTATTATAAGTTTAATTCACAATGAAATCACTGCAAAGAGGAACATTTTAAATGTCCTCTTAGCGAAGGTGGTCCCTTATTATAAGTTTAATTCACAATGTAATCACTGCAAAGAGGAACATTTTAAATGGTCTTTTAGCCTAGGTGCTCCCTTATTATAAGTTTAATTCACAATGTAATCACTGCAAAGAGGAACATTTTAAATGGTCTTTTAGCCTAGGTGCTCCCTTATTATAAGTTTAATTCACCATGAAATCACTGCACAGAGGAACATTTTAAATGGCCTCTTATCCTAGGTAGCTAGGTGGTCCCTTAATACAAGTTTATTTCACAATGAAATCACTACAAAGGGGAACATTTAAATGGCCTCTTAGGTGGTCATGGGTGGTCCCTTAATTGACATAGTCACATGAACAGGTTTGAATAAAGACCATTATTAGTCCACAAATATTAGTCCCCCCCCCCCCCCCCCCCCTTTTTAATATTTAAAAATATTGAAACCACTTTTTTTTCGTAAGAAGCATGCTTGAATGAAGGGCTTTAAAGTGTGTGCGAATGAATGACCTTGACTTACTATAAATATAATTTCAAAAGTGAAAGTCAAAAACCGTTTTCATTTTTGTGCGATTGTGAAGTGCTCGAAGTGCTCTCAGTACTCTCAGTACTTTGATTTCTATCAAGACATCTAATACACAATGGTAATACTACATCGATTACTACGCACTCTCAATCTTAAAAGTATAGACAGTTTACATCTCTACTGCAGTCGGTAAACATCAGCCTTTCTTGTGCATGGCAAACCCAACCGATATAGACAAAAAGCTAGTTTCAATTCATCATCCTGACGTACATAGTGGACGGACTATATGACCTTTACGAACTACATTCCTATACAACCAAGCCCATTGGCTGCCTATATTTATCCGTTCTTTCTCTGACGTCATTTCGCACTCCGGGAATCCCGCACTACTCAGTCAGCTACTGTGTAGACTTGCAAAAGTTATTATTAGAAGGCCAAATCAGTCCTTACAGTGAAAAGCCCGTCAAATTGTTAGCCAAACATTTCTAGTTGTAATTATATTCATGACGGCGTATATGGCAGCATGAACACAGTTGGCAACGAGGTTATTTTTTATGAAGCATGTGTTCGTTACCAACTACGTTCGTGCTACGGTAAGAAAGTCAATCCTCTAACAATCATTTCTGTTAAATGTTTTGATAAGTCCCGTAGAATAGGTCGTTACCCTACAAGTAATAGTCGTAATTTAAGTCTAAGTATAACAATGCATACATGATAATCTGTCATCACAAATTTGATATTCTTTTTCTCCCATAACATGTTAAGTGTGATGCTACCTGCTGATGCTATTTAACACCTATAAATTACCCGAAAAATACTAAGTGATGAAACCTACACCAGTTATGGAAGGAAAAATCGTGACCCTCAGACAAAGTTACCAGCAGTGAGGCCAATCTGCAAAAATGTTCTTATCAAAAGTAGTAAATAAATGAGATCCCATCGATAGGGCAAGTCAATGAGGCAAATTCTGGTAGTACATGTATATATGTATCCAAAGCTGCATGCTCAGCAAAGGCAAAAAGGGTCATGGGATGGGGTTCTAAACCATTTCCATTCTATGACCAATTGACTCCTTGATCCGAGACCCAGTGAGCGGGGGCGGAACCTGAGGTCAGTCCTGTTTGCATATCTCTATTCCGTGCAAAGCAAATGCACCAATGGTTATAGGATGGAATCTCAACCGTTTCCATTTTGTGGTCCAGAAACTACACACTGCTATCCCGATACAACGAACCAGAGCAGACACAAATAATAGTCAAATTTATCAAGTTAGGAAAGGGCTAGTCGAGGTGTTGAGAATGTTTACTTAGACATTAGACTTTATTTCAGTTTATTTATCGATCACTTTAATGACTGATAATTAGTATTCATATGTGTGAAATTCTGAGTGGAATGACTTCGCTGAAGGTATTTGATGAGTCATTTAACTTTTTACACCGTTTCATTTTCGGTAATATTTACACTTGTATCATCATAAAACGTCTTCTGTGCTTTCATTGGTGACATCTACTGAAGACTTGTTGAAAGATTTCATAAAATTCGTAGAAATGCCAAGATATTTTTAGGATAGGGGTTGCCATTTTTGGGCTTAAAAAACAGGGGGTCGAGCACAAATGAATGCGGAGTTGTTCCGATTGCCCCCCTCCCGAGGGGTCAGTCTCTACATTTGTACTATTTTGAATCCCCATCTTTTGAGAATGCTTACAACCAAATATGGTTGATGTCAATCTCTTAGTTCCTTCGGAGTAGGCTTTGAAGGAATATGAAAAAATTGCCCCTTCGTGGCCCAGCCCCTAAGTCCGAGAAAGGGGGTTAGTTGCTGTATTGCTTTAAATGAGATTTCTCCTCTGTAGTACATAACATACAATATATCGCAATTCTGACTGAAGGTCGATTTTAACACTAGGCAAACATGGACTTTAAGGACAAAGGGTGAATATTTCACTGGGCTTAATTAACGTTTCCCATATATAATATACATGACGCTACTCCAGAAAGACCATGACGTACTTGTAACGGTAAACTTTACGTAACGACTGTACACGGAAAACTTTCGCCAATAAAATGTTCGCCCCTCACAGATAAAACCCCTATTAGCCCCTTCTCAAGTAATTACCTTATATAGTCTATAGTACTATTATTAGCTGTCATGATAAATATACCCTTGTTTCAGAGGGTTAACAGATGAAAATATTGTTGCAAAAAATCTCGGATGCATAGTATACTGGACCGTTATCTTTAAACGGTTGAACCGGTTTGACCAGTTGTTCGTTAATCAAATAAGGTCAAACCTGGTAATCTGATACTGCTTTCAGGCGAGCCTTCACAAAGCTTTGCAGGGCCTGCATAAACATTTGCAGGTCCGCCAGGATTTATACCATAAAAATGTTACATTTAAAGACGGTCAAACGGGTTGTTCTGCCATGGATATAAACAAACAGGCCCTAAGTATTCTTTCCATTCTCCATTGCATTATTGCAGTGTCTGCCCCTTTATTAAATTTTATTAACTAACTATGTAGATATTGCTGTAATATGTAATAAACGGCCCGTGCAGTATAATCAACAATCTCAGCCAATATCGGAACTGTTACACAAAGTCGGCCAATATTGAGAAAAGTCGGCCTTTATGGAAAATATTGGTCGACTTTTGACAAACTCGCCAAATACGAGAAAACGCTTGTAATCGAACGCGCCCGGTAAACCGTTCGGAACTCACCGGAAGGTAAGTTCTTATCCTACGGCAAAACCCGATATGTTCCTGGCGCAGACGACAACATCTCTTGACAGGCAAGCAAAAACAGGGGCTTAGATGCTTGATGTTCTGGTCCACGACATCCAGAGGTATGAGATGTTGTCAGAACAGTCATTTTGTGCACCAATCTGAATTGTCGCAATAAGAACAACGATGAAAATGTGACAAATGTTCAATTTAAATTTCAAAGTTATTTTCCGATTAAACATGTTAGAATAACCTGTTTCATTGTTTTTATATCCACATAGTTAATTAATAAAAGGGTCAATAATTAGCTAATTCCATATTGGCCCAGTAATTAGGCCTCGGTCAGTCATATTGGCCTGCGGCCTCAGGCCAATATGACGGACCTCGACCTAATAACTGGGCCAATACGGAATAAGCTAATTATTAACCCTATAGTTATAAGTTGACAAGCTGAAAGTTAATAAAGAAGTTGAAAGAATAAGTTCTGTAAAGACAAGTAAAAAAAACTCTGTACACTGTAGTAAGAGTTTAAGAGCTTTATTTCAGCTATATGACATCACGTCTTCATGAAGGATATTTCCTTCTCACAAAATGCATGTACAAAAAAAAAATATGCTAAAAATTGTACAAAAACTTTGCCTAGCAATACCGAGAAAAGATAAATTAATAGTACATACATGTATGACACACCTTACTATAATGAAAGAATGTTACAATATTGAACAAAATCACGATACATCAAGAACTCTGACAGATGAAACATTCAACAAGCACTCGCTCATCAGACCTTATACAGTTTTAGAAAGTAGTTCACACAGACACGGTATGAAAAATAACAAAGAATAATGAACCTGAATATCGACAAGGTTTCTTGTAAGTACGGTTCACAAAATCCTACTTAAGCAGCGGAGAACCTAGAAATGTCCTACAGATAATAGTTCTGTTTATTGTTGTTTACAAATCCAGTATTTTTTCTCTGTTTTCTATATTTGTATATATGATGATTCTATTTACATATCATACAGATATATATATATATTGAAGCAGTGCTAAGTTGTGGTGATTATATTTAATAAATACTGTTAAACGAATAATTTTGTATAGGTATCAATTGAATCTCAGTGCTGAGACATTATGAAACATTGATGATATCTATGACAATAGAAATTGTATTGAAATGAGCAAGGTTACCTAATTCTTAGAAAATTGGTTTGGCAAGAAATATGTTAAACTATAAAAAAAAACGTGGAATAGTTGTAACGGAATACTTTCAATCAAAATTATTTTCATAATAAATATGAGTTTTCAGGACTTAATTCATGTTTTACTGTCTTCCATTTTGATATCTTTTCCCTGTTGCTAACCTTTCCATATTGCATAATTTCCTACACTGAAACACTATTTCACTGTAATTCTGTTCAATTTCTCAAACTTCTTTGCAACAAAATAGCTTATTATAAACTTGGCCAATAGTAAGCTTCTGTCAGATGTAGCACAAATCTTAATTAACACACAGGTAACCTCCAAATAGATAAAGCATTTATTTGGTGTTGTGTACAAAAAAGTAGCACTGCATAAGATCGTAAGTGTTGATCAAAACAGGCGACCTGCACCCGTACCACAAAACTTTGCAATTGGTTTTTTTCAAATGTTTCCCCATTTCATTTTTCTGTAATACATTCACAGTTTCCAGTCCAGAGATAAGTCTTTCCTATAAGGTATACACATTTTATATTTGAGAAAAAATGTAGCTCTCATAGGTCCTGATAGGCATAATCTTGACATTTAGAACCACACTTTTCTGCTTGTTTTGTGAGATTTGACTTATACGATTTATGCCAAGAAAGGGTAAGCTGATAGAATTCATATATTACTTTTTTTAAACAATTCAATACTAACTTATACTCACTGTACCAAATGTACACCAGTAAATGCAACATTGATTAAAATCAATATTTAACAACATCATAATTAATAAATCAAATTACAATTTCGCATCCTATTTTGTTTTTAAATAATTCAGGTTAAGACAAAATTGATCTTAAATAACCAGTAAAAATTATACATTTAGTGTTTAGAAGATTAAAAAAAGAAATACAGCTAACAAGAGTAAAACACCTGTTCGAAACAAGATATTTATTAACTACACGAAAAATATGAAAATATAAGTTTTCAATAGTGTGTTGACCATATTTGCTGTAAACAGCATCCCTATCAAATAAACACCCTGCCTTTATGATTCCAGTTAAAATGGCATGTTGTCTACTGCTACTTTCCATTCTGAACCTTCTCTGCCACAAACTGTTCTCTCTAAAAGTCCACTACCTGTCATTAAATATTAAATCCAGTTTCTTAGCCATTAATGATAATATAAATACTCCATCAAATGTTCTAGAGGGCTGGAAGAGAGTTGTATGGTTAATTCTATGGCTAATTAGTACAAGAAATGTGTTTTTAAGAAACCCAATTGAGGCCTCATTTCTAAGCTCCTGGGGCATCCCATACACATGATAGGGTAATATCAGGACAGAGCAATTTTTCTTGTGTCATGAAATCAATATACAGTGTATATTATATATTAATCAGCACAAAAAATAGAACAATTAAAAATTCTTCAATAATTTAACATTTTAACAAAAAAATATCTTTAAACTAATGAAACGTATGTGTTCATAATGAAAAAGTAAAAAGTTTGAAAATTAATATTCACTTTATCAGCCGAAGCCTAGAATTTTTTCTTCTATTTGAAAATAGTACTGATAGATAAATTTAAATTGCCTAAATTGTCTTTTCGATTTTGCAATACAGTTGCAATTTTATAAACTCTGATTATAATAGCAAAGACTTATGACACCTATGCCTGCATCAGTTGCAAGGTAACACAAACTTCGGTGAAGTTATTCCTAAAGACACTAACAAAAGAGCCAATATGTTGGCCACACTGCTGGGCTATGTCAGCTACAAATAAATATTGTGTCAGGTTGATTTTAGCACTATATTATAATCAAGAAACGACCATCAAAAAGGCCTGTTATGAAGCACTAACAGCTCACGATATCGAGAGTATCAAAACTTTATATCAAACGTGAAGGGGGGAAAAAATCATGTAAAATCTTATGCAAAAATGCTATAGAAATAATTGCACAGTAAGTAAATCCCTTGAGGCAAGCAATTTTTCTACCACAAGGCGGAAACAACTGTAGGTAAGGTAACTCTATCATACTCTCACACAGAGGGGAGGCAATTGCAAGGGAGCTAACTCTCGACAAGTGTTAACAATAAATGGGATAATTTATTGAAGAAGTCTATTTTTGTTTTCCTGAATTTGATAATAGTTTTCTTGATAAACATTTCTAGATATTCTAAATTAAATCCAGAATACATTACATGGACATTGTCCAATAACTTCAACTTGCATTTGCGTTCCAATGAATTACATTCCTCAAAAAAAAGGTGGAATATATAAAGAGTACACGAATAACAAAACAAGAAACAATTGACACACAGGGTATGTAAAAATATAAGAAAATTAGATTACACCACTGTAGCAAGCACATGAACACATAGTTGCACCATAATACATCTGTACATCCATGACGAGTATGTCCAATTAGTAGAACTTATCTGCTATATTAGTCATACTGTCAAGAAGAAGAAAAAAAACTCTCAGTGGTATCGCGATTATAATCACTCTAGAATAGCATTTATTTTTTCCCAGTGGTAACAAATGATTTGTTTTCGTTAATGAAGTAAATATTGCACATCTCGTAATGGGAAAGTATCTACCTTTATCACACTAAAGCTTACTGACTACATAGGGTTTAATACATATATACACCATATACACTCCTAGCATAATAACATATCAACAGGGCGATAATTATACAACATGACATATGATCATTTCAATATAAGCAACAGTCGGAAAGTTTGATAAATTTTATATCCATTCAGGTCAGACTTCCAAAAATAATATAATAAAAAAAACCTTTATATTCCAGACTTTCAATCAAGAAACAAAACATGAATTTTTTACTTCCTTCTACAATGGCATTGCTTACAAAATCTCAATGTATTGAATGAATAATGATAAAAGTAGATCAGCTCCGTAAATAATGTTTTAATAAATAGAAGTGACCTTAATTTTTTTTTATCTGTAAGAGTAGCTGTTGTCAAGTGATTTTTTTTTTTAGAAGATATTTTCTTCCTCCAAACAGAAGAGGAGGAAAGTTTTAAAATGATTTTTTAACTTACAAGACACCCTGTATAACTACTGGTAATTTTCACCTTAGAAAACTTGGAAAATGTTGTACTACAATCCTTTCCGCTATTATTTGCATATCAATATGCCTGAATCATCTAAAGATGAAATTGACCTGCTTGCAAGCAATGGAAAAGAGTTTAAGGATTTCTTAATATTTCAATGTACTTTCACATTAGAATTAGTTAGTATATGACTATGTCATTTTAAAGGAAACATGCATATAGTCAAGAAAATGAGATGAGCAGGTTTAAAAAATATAGCCAATGCAAACACTGTATGATAAAAAAGTTGCCGAAATGTCAAAACATTGCATCTCCTGGTTCTTGCTGAAATAGGCTTTTTGAATAAAAGCTTAAAGTTAGCAACATCACAAAACAGTTTCTTAAATGTTTACTATGTCAATGGAATATCTACTTTCCAATTCAATGTTCATTATTATTGTCTTTAATGTAATAAAAATGAAATCCACAACTAGATTTTCTTTCCATTCAAAAGATCAAAAAACATTTCCGGAAAAACCTGAAGTAGTTATCTGTGCTAAAAACACTGTTCGATAATGTGTTGCTTATAAAACGCATGTCTTCAATAGAATTTTGAATTGTATCGTTTCAGCATGGCTATCATCATCAAAGACAGATGATACTATCAGGATGTCCTATCTTCTCAACAAAACACACCCTGCTTACATCAGGCCATCTAGCTTACACTGCATGTGAAGCTGACGAAAACTGAAACATAGTTCTCACATTTTTAACATGGCAAACACACACACACACAGCTGTGAGACAGTTCAAAACTTTTCAACATCGACATTGTCCACACATACACAAAGAGTATGGCAGCTTTTCGGGACCAATACAGTTTGGTCACGTTGATCCTCCCATCAGTGAATAGTTCTCACCGACAAATCATGTCATAACAAGAAGGTCATCTCGTCCATAAATATCATTCCTCGCCGCCACACTTTAGTCATAGTCACCAGGTCCACATTTTTCCACCGATAATTTATTCCTCACCCCCATACCAAGGTACTTTGCCGTAGGAAAAGATCTTCCCATCCGTAAATCAGACATTGCAGACAGACCTAGCTGTAAAATCAGGATCTGAATCTTCGCCTTCAACTCTGATAGATAAGTTCACTGTCGCAGCATCGAACCCACGTAACAAATTATGACATATTGAGGAAAAAGTTCTATGGCCAAATTTGCATAAGCAAGGCTCTCAAAGAAAGGTCCACATATATCCTTGTAAAATGTCAGATGATGACCTTCCAAGTGACTTTCCATGTCAACAATTGGTATGGTGTTTTTCATCAATTCTTCAATGGCCAAACCTCCTTGTGAAGCATCTAACGTGAGCTTGTCGGCAGCATACACATTCAACCTTTCAGTTCGCATTATAAGACCTAGAGCCTGTTCGCGAAATTTATAATCTGATCATATGGTCAACAAGAAAACAAAATTGTGAACCATCAAATTGATCATAAAACTACCACAGAAAACCTGTAGAAATTTGAATGTTCATGCCCAGGATAGTCAAATCTTCTCCAAACAGTTGTTTCAATTTCAACTGTTCATGGTTCTCAATGCTTCAAATCATTCAGGTTAGTTCAGTTCTAACTGCCGAGTAACGTGCAGGGTTCACATATAGTTGCTCAAAATCTCAACTGACAAAGACGCTCAAGGTTTGACGCAGAGATGGCTCAGAGTTAACTGCCCAATATTACCAAGGTTTCATATACTTATAGAGCTGGTTAAATTCAGGTTAAGTTTAGTGTTTTTCTTCAAACTGGAAGACATCTTACAGATGTGTAGAGCTCTCCTTTTGTTGACTATACTACATGTTGTAGGCCACGTATATGGGGTCGAGTTGATCAGCCAGAAAGCCGTCCCGCAGGTGCATGCGTTGTTTCTCGCCGCGCGAGTTGATAGGAATGATACCAGGGTCTACCACCACCACGACCCCCACGATGAGGTAGTGATCCTCCAGAACCACGTTCGTCACCAAGGGAACAAGATCTAGAGCCTCATTCTCATTTCCTTCCAATTCTACGACAACTACCAGCAGGTTTGTCCAGGTGAATACAGCACTGTATAAAGCAAAAACATCACAGTTATTTAGCAAGAAGACAGGATTCCTGTAACTTGTACAATTTATAAGACACAAAAATATAAATTTTGCAGTTTGTAAATGATTAAATCAACGAAGATCTGAGAGAGTTTTACTGATTACTAATCAATTGAGATAGAAGGGAAATCAAGGATAAAACAATAAATAGAAACAGGTGAAAAATTTAAGGAAACAAATCAAACCTAGATGGGCGGGAATTTTACGATAGCAAATAAATGAACCGGGTTATAAAGTTACTTTACTGTTTACCAAGTCGATACAGTATTACAAACAACATAAAGATGATATATTTCAGATGGATTTTCTTTTTAAGATCTTTACAACTGTATGACTCTTATTATAACACACTTATTAAACATGTTTAGCGTCAATAGGCAGTCATAATATTTCTCGTGTTGAAAGCACTAAAATACAACCACTTTATATATAAACTCTCTGCGTTTCTGTATGTAATTGAGAGATACACATAGCATAGCACTTAATCAGAGTGTGTTGCTTGAAAATTATCGCTGATGCACCTGATGTGCTTATATAAAAACTTTTACAGTGTAGCTTTAAATCAATGCTGTAACCCAGCCCCAGCACCTGTTCAGGATAAGTTATATCTGTATGACAAAAAGACTACACATTACCGGGAAGTTGGTGTTATTTAAACCCTATTCGTGGGGAGGTCGACCTACTCACCATTCACAGATCTTTCTATGGGAGCGAGACACAGTGTTCTCAATGTCGATGGGGTGGTACCTCATTCCTCGTAACATCACTGTTTCGTCCAGCGCTCCCACCACAAATATAGCATCGTGGCGCTCTGTAACAAAAACGTCTGTTACTCCAACCGTAAACTCTATAGACTTAATACTGTATGAAAGTGACAGGATATTTTTTCCATTTTGTTTGAAATTCAAGAAAACTGTCAAGATTATTTTTCCATTTTACTGAGGCTTCATCATAAAGATTCCATAATAGGAATTTAGATAACTAATGATGCTGATTAAACAAAGGGCAAACCTCCGTCGCTCTGGGTGAGCTCTGTGCGCCGTACAAAGCCAAGGAACCCGGTTCTGGCATAGGATAGTCGCGCGTCACCGGTGGCCAGGTGCGAGTCAAAGTGGTCAGCATGGAGTGACTCGTCGCCGTAAATCGTGAAGTAACCTGTGGCATTGTGGGGGCTGTGTACCCAGATCTGAGGAGACAGAAGTACAGGTTAATGATCAGTTACCCATAGTTTGAACACTTTGTGTTCATGACTACAAAGTATCAATAGAACTAAACACATATTATACAAGCGTTTTAATCGTTTTAATGCTGTCTAAAATTTTAATTTGCCAAAATTTACCCTACCCTAACCCTTATAAAATCATTACAGAGGCAAGAGCACTGAATCTTTGCATGATATGTCAGTCACAGCACTCAGCTTTTTAGTTTACTGCCTTTCTGATTAGCCTTCCCCACTTTATCTGGTTTGATTAAGATTCACTGTACTGACCTCTCCTAGATGCGAGTCTGCACACTGTCCTTTGGTGTCCGGATTAGCTATCACCACTTTGACACCAGGCAGGAGCTGGAAACATTAAACATACTGGTAATTTTAAGCTGTAAGTCATAAACATTACATCATTCAACAAGCGAAAAAATATGGAATCCTGTTCAAAACTAGAAAACATCTGTAAGACATGAACGCCCCGCCACCTTGGCCCTGTGAATGACCTATAAATAGCATCAATGACCTTGGTGTTCACCTTGAGTCCCTGAAATACGAACTCATCCAAGGTATTCTCATACTTGACCATTGTATAAGAACGAAGTCCACAGAGTGATGAAAATGAATTGTGACTAGCTGGGAGAGACATGCATAGCAATATATGAAATGGTTTGGGGTGTGAGAATATATCAAACCTTAATTACTGATACTGTATCACCTCTAGTGTAACACTGTTTATATACTTCAGACAAAGTGGAAAAAACAAACTCAGATCAGCTCTGTATTCATTCCACTATCTCTCATTCTTAAACTCAGATTCCATGCTCAAGCTTATTTTTTCTTCCAAGCTAGATGGTACATTAAGCATTTGAAAATGAGTATCTCTATCATTCTCATGGTAAGAATTAACCCTTTCACCACTATAGACCATAATAGACACATCCAGCTCAATGCATGGTAGAGTCTACTCAAGTTACATAGTGGTGAAAGGGTTAATGTTTAATTCATGTTACAAGACCTCTGCACATTATATTAAAGATAGTTGGTGTGAGCACAAAAACAGTCCATGAAATTGTCAAGATAAACTCATCTACCATTAAGTCTGCCCTCCTGTTGGTGATTTAACACATTGCAGTTTTTTTTTTATTTTTACTCTTTTTTGAATGGTTAAAGCCCTAGACAAATACTTCTCTTTTTACAACATAAATCCACACATAAACTCAATGATACATAATCAAGACAGATTTCAGTTCAAACTAATCGGCCAAAAAGCTTCCTGCTACATTGTAGTAAAGTATTATTAGTTCAGACTAACGTCCAAAACAGAAATACAGTCCAACTTACTTTCATAAATCGAACTTCGAAGATTCAAATTTCTCGATGTGTCAATCTCTAGGCAAAGTCCAGATTTTTTCCCTTATATAATACTTCTGACAGTCAAGGTTTGATCGTTACCAGGTAGGTAAACGTTGAAAATTACAACTATTGATTCGAGTAAAACAACTACATGTACCTGTACGAGAACATTGAGATGTCCCTGGATATTTTAACATCTAAACGTGCATAAATACACAAAATATATTTTTCTAATTATACATTAAATCCAATATTTCTATATTTTAAATTGAATATCTTGCCTTGTGTTTGTCACTTGACAATTACAGTCGGTCTTATGCAGTATATACGTAAGTGGAAGTCTCGATGTTTTGATTTTTTTCCGATGGTCCTGTAAAGTTCGAAACATAGAAGTTTGACTGTAGTTATTGGAATATTATCCACATACCTTGCCAGATTCCATGACACAGAGGCTGTGGGGACTCCCCTTCTCTACCAGGGTAACCCGGTCATTACGCAGGGCACGCAAGTCCACATACACGGTTGTGGGGTCCGGACACGAGGCACCCTATAACATGTATTAGGGCTTGTAACATCCTCAAGTAAAGTACTGGCCAATATGTTTAACATGCTGAACAGTTAAATGCCGAGACCAATTTCCGAAAACTCACATTTATATTTTCGTCTCAATTCATGCATGTCAAACACAGTCGAAAATGTGTGGAATCAAGCATGAACCATTCAATACAGAATTATAAGTGATGATTATATTACATTTAAATAAAATATCCATTACATACGTACAGTAAAATACATTACAGTTTCAGGTTCAAATTGGTATTATCCTTGTTTAGAGTTCACTGTTCATTGGACAGCGAGACGAATTGTAAATTTGTGTATTGAGACTTATCCAATACCGCGGTGTTACTCTGTGTTACTTTGTGTTATTATGTGTTACTTTGTGATACTCTGTGTTACTTTGTGTTAATCTGTGCTACTCTGTGTTACTTTGTGCTACTCTGTGTAATTTGCGATACTCTGTGTTACTTTGTGTTACTTTGTGTTACTCTGTGCCTACCTGTAAACACATGCCGAGGTTGACCCGACAGCCGAAGCTGGTGCTAACTGCCCGCGGCGAGAGACCGAGATTGGCAAACAGTTTCGTGAAAGACGTGGTCAAATGGATCCTCGGACGTTCTTCTGCTATCACACAGCACGTCCGCACACAGCTAAGGTTTACCCCCCGGGCCTGGAACAACACAATAAAGACCAACATCAACACAGTATTCTACAAGGGTTTAATTAAGAGCAAACAATGGGCTACCTTCATCTGGCAACAACTGGCCTAACCAGTAGCGTATCAATTTTTTGTCTTTTAATCTAGGTGAGTGAAATAAGTAACACAAAAGAGACTTAAAATTTGCTATGTTGTCACTGTTGATGGTCGATGATAAAGCTTCTTGTTTAGCACAATACCTGGCTAAGGAAAATCTGAAGGATATAGCTGACTAACAGCACATGCCTTCTGATACACTGTATCAAGATATCAATAGAAAGTTTACTTGCTAAAGTTACTTAATAGTAAAATGTTCACAGAAAATTAATAGCTATAAACCTTAATTAGCTTTAATAGGTGAAATTTAACATATCTTTGAAAAGCAAAGAGAATTTGAGGGTGACAACAGCATTTCGTACTTTGAGACAACAAGACTTTGTATCGGGGACAACATTTTGTACCTCAAGACAACATTTCATAGCTTGAGATGAAAAAAAATCATACACTAGACAACAACATTTTGCACAATGAGACAACAATATTTCTTACTTGAGGCAACGTTTAATACCTCAGACAACGTTTCATACCTTGAGACAATATTTTATATCTCGAGGCAACATTTTATACATAGAGACAACATTCGTACCTTGAGAGTGGTTGTGGATGTCCCTAATCCTCTCGTACATAGTTCCATTACTCCATAGGAGCAAAACGTATCTCGAACTGAAACACAAACCATTACGTATCTAATGTAGACATGGTTCAAATAGCAATGAAGGAATAATCATGCTGGTCTACAGGCTCAGCCAAACACAAACCATTACGTATCTAATGTAGACATGGTTCAAATAGCAATGAAGGAATTATGCTGGTCTACAGGCTCAGCCATCAAGTCTGATTAAAACAAATGTGGGCACAAAATCTGAACATTTCACATTTTAAAATAATTCTAATGGCCATGACATCTTCATTTCTATTTCTGTAGGAATATTACGGATTTCAAGAGAGCAAGATGAGAACTACAAGAACCAATTTTCAATCCTTTAAAGTATGTATTTATCAATGTTACATCATATGTACGTGGAACATGACACATGTATGGACAGCTAGGGGAGACAACTCACCTTTGTAGTTACTGACTGCAGTGTGCCAGACAGCAGGATTCGTCTCCACCTCAGATGGAGCAATCAGTATGGAATGATGACCAGAATAAATACTGCAACACAAACAAGACAGAGATATTAGTGTACAAAGGCTCATTAAAATATGTACAGCTGCTTAGAAGTTTATTTTGGCAACCAATCAGAGAGACAGGTGTTGGAAAAAAGATATGTCCTCAAAATTTCATTGGAATGGAACAAATAATATTGGAAATACAATTTACTAAAAACTTCCCCTTACACACCAAAACCTTGGTAACAAAGGATTTACATAATATGTAGTTTTTATATGGGAGAGACAAATAAGAAAATGAGAGTGCGCAGAGGAAAAGTGGAGAGAGAAGACTTAGGAAAGGAAAGATAAATGAGGGATGAGGGGAGGGAGTGAAGTGAAGATCAAAGAGAGAAGAGAGGGAGAAACAAGAGTGAAAGACTGAAGATGAGGAGAGATACAGAAGAAGAGGAACAACAGAGGGAAGAGACCGTGGAGAGGGAAGACCTACCTTGTTAGACACCAAAGCCCGAAGCCCAGGCCACAGTAGGGGTCGAGACACAGGGCCACGTCACGCGAGGGATAAAACTCACACTGGAGTTTGATGGACCGACATAGAGCGGTCGCAGCTGCATGAGACATCTGAAACACATGTAACATATATTTCATTTCCATATCAATATCTATACTTTGAATTATATTATAGATAATATTTGGGGGACCTCAATTGAGTAATATTTTACCTTGCACTTTTTAACGCGACATATGGAGAGCCCGTTTTTATCAAGTTAGTTGTCCTATATACCAGTAAGTGTTTTTAGGCCCCTTTTTTTATAAAGAGTTGTCCCAGTAATTATAATCAAGTCATCAAACAATCAAAACACTTAACGTGAAAGCGTAATTAGCTTTAGTAAAACTGCCATTGTAACATTGTGATCTCATCATTTATTGCACTCAACTACTAAAGAGGTATCAATATATTTTAGTTAGAAGTTCTGAAAATCTTTGCCTGTTGAGAGGCGTGCATGAAAGCGTGATGTTTTCCCCACAAGTCTGAGCAGTATTTATCATATATATGGTGTAAGCTGTGTTACCCAACCCCTAAATATTTCAATATCCTTTCAATCAAACAACTATAATGCCATTTTTAAAAACCACTTCCCAATAAAACCTGTGTTCAACGAATGCCTGTCCAACCTTCTTAGATCCCACAGTTAGACAGAACATTTCTGATCTACATGCTTGTTAAACGAAATATTGTTTAATCTAAACCGAGAGTAAACATTATTTGCAAAAAATGTTTCTAGATCTGGCAAATTGTGTTTATCGAGGCAGACTGACCTTGACCCCAGCCAACATGCCGGTAGTGGAGACACTGAAGTCGAGGTAACAAATCATTTCCGGGGTGGGGGCACGGTAGATAGCGGACAGCTTTTTCTTGGGTAGGTCATCGGTGTCCAGTATTGTCGGCCAAGCCTTTGTTTCCACAATCCCTATGGACTCCTGTAAGCAGACCACAAACACGGGTCACAAACTCCACAAAAGGGCTATTTAAGTTAAATGCTAGCACTGCGTCAGTTCAGTTGCCAGAGGCTCGCAAACATGAAAATCCAAAACTTGTATCATAAATCTAATATGAAGGGAAACTTATGACAGATCCTCTATATTCCACATACCGTTAATTCCGTCAGGAGTCTTACCCCGAGTCTCAGCAGCTTTAGTACAGTACTACTGGTAAGGATGGCCGACGCTATGCTGACGTCTACGATCATTATAACAGTCTTACCTTGAGTCTCAGCAGCTTTAGTACAGTACTACTGGTAAGGATGGCCGACGCTATGCTGACGTCTACGATCATTATAACAGTCTTACCTTGAGTCTCAGCAGCTTTAGTACAGTACTACTGGTAAGGATGGCCGACGCTATGCTGACGTCTACGATCATTATAACAGTCTTACCTTGAGTCTCAGCAGCTTTAGTACAGTACTACTGGTAAGGATGGCCGACGCTATGCTGACGTCTACGATCATTATAACAGTCTTACCTTGAGTCTCAGCAGCTTTAGTACAGTACTACTGGTAAGGATGGCCGACGCTATGCTGACGTCTACGATCATTATAACAGTCTTACCTTGAGTCTCAGCAGCTTTAGTACAGTACTACTGGTAAGGATGGCCGACGCTATGCTGACGTCTACGATCATTATAACAGTCTTACCTTGAGTCTCAGCAGCTTTAGTACAGTACTACTGGTAAGGATGGCCGACGCTATGCTGACGTCTACGATCATTATAACAGTCTTACCTTGAGTCTCAGCAGCTTTAGTACAGTACTACTGGTAAGGATGGCCGACGCTATGCTGACGTCTACGATCATTATAACAGTCTTACCTTGAGTCTCAGCAGCTTTAGTACAGTACTACTGGTAAGGATGGCCGACGCTATGCTGACGTCTACGATCATTATAACAGTCTTACCTTGAGTCTCAGCAGCTTTAGTACAGTACTACTGGTAAGGATGGCCGACGCTATGCTGACGTCTACGATCATTATAACAGTCTTACCTTGAGTCTCAGCAGCTTTAGTACAGTACTACTGGTAAGGATGGCCGACGCTATGCTGACGTCTACGATCATTATAACAGTCTTACCTTGAGTCTCAGCAGCTTTAGTACAGTACTACTGGTAAGGATGGCCGACGCTATGCTGACGTCTACGATCATTATAACAGTCTTACCTTGAGTCTCAGCAGCTTTAGTACAGTACTACTGGTAAGGATGGCCGACGCTATGCTGACGTCTACGATCATTATAACAGTCTTACCTTGAGTCTCAGCAGCTTTAGTACAGTACTACTGGTAAGGATGGCCGACGCTATGCTGACGTCTACGATCATTATAACAGTCTTACCTTGAGTCTCAGCAGCTTTAGTACAGTACTACTGGTAAGGATGGCCGACGCTATGCTGACGTCTACGATCATTATAACAGTCTTACCTTGAGTCTCAGCAGCTTTAGTACAGTACTACTGGTAAGGATGGCCGACGCTTTACTGACGTCTACAATCATCTTAACAGTCGGAAGGGTTGTGGAAATGTTTTGTGGGTGGGGCGGCCGGATGGTGACGGGAACACAGCCTGAAAACATAGAAGAAAATACATAAGCATCCTGACCTTACAAAATATAAGATTTAGATACTCTTTGACACATATAGAAGACTAACTCTTTCACCCCTTGAAATTTGTAATGAACTATTCCAACCTTTGAATGGGAAGAGTTAAAATGTGTCTTAAGGGGTGAATGAGTTAATCTATGAGCTATGCGCATACATTTCACCAATAACAACATTTTTAGGTATTTTTTTCCGCTTCTCTATTTTCTTTGGTGTCGATGCTCCTTCGATTATTTAAAATTAATTTACTTCTCATGGATGGAGCTCTGTTTGAATACCCTTGTGATATCCACCTCGGATTCCCGAGTACCGGACAGACCACAGACTATTGTCCGTAGGATGTTGGATCTCCGTGCCGGATAATTGTGTTGGTTTACCAACATTTTTATTCCACTTTTCCTTCTCTATTAGTTAACATAGAATTATCAACTATTTGTGTATGAATCTTTTAAAAGAAATTAAAAATGTTTCGTAGATAAAAATTAACTTACCAACATACAGACAGCCGTAAAACGCTGCCACCAGCTCTATGCCTGAAAAATATCAACAGCACAAGTGTATTACCACTACTGGTATCATCAACTGTCAATTCAACTGGCAGATCTACAACCACTGTACATGAGACCTAAACTAACCCCGCCCCCCTCCC